TAGGTTACAAAGATATTCTATGTTATCTTCAAGAAGCTTTATAGTTTTAGCTTTTACACTGGGTCTATGCTCCATCTAAAATGAATTTCTGTGTATTGTGTGAAGTAGGGGTCAAGATTCTTTTTTTATTTTCCAGGGATTCCAATATGAATCTTTAATTTATTGTGGTCTACCTTGAATTAATCTTGTACTGCTTCATGTATAGTGTTAGATCCTTATGAGTACAATTCAGCTTACTTCCCTTCCCATCCTTTATGCTATTGCTATTATACTTTTCATTTATTTATATGTTATAAACTCCACAGTATCTTGTTATTTTTGCTTTAAATAGTCACTTGTCTGTTAAGCAATTAAGATGAGAAAAGAGTAATATTTTATGGTTAGTGACATATTTGTCATTTCCATTACTCTTCATTCCTTCCTGTAGATCTGATTTTCATCTAGTATCATTTTCCTATAGGCTAAAGAATGTCTTCGTTTCTTGTGCAGAATTGCTGGAGATAAATTTTTTCAGATTTTGTTAACTTGAAAGTTTCTCTATTTTTCTTCATTTCTGAAGATACTTTCATTGACTGTAGAATTCTAGGTTGCCAGATTTTGCTTTTTGTCCAGCAGTTTAAAAGATATAATTCTATTGTCTTATAGCTTCTGTTGTTTCTGAGAAGTGAGTCACTTTTTCATTGTTTACTCTACGTAATGTGTCTTTTTTCTTTGGATGCTGTAAGTATGGGGGAAATATCCTAGGGCAAAATACCTTTGAAACCAAAATCATCAAAGGGAGAAATAAAGTTTAAGAAACCCATTTATTTCTTACAAGCTGTCGTCCCGTCTCTTTCCTTGACCAGGCTGCAGCAGAAGAGAGCTCCACCCAACCTCTCCAGTCTAGCTAAACCCTAGCACCCTTGCAGGCCCTTGTAATTATCTATTGATATGTGGCCATTCTGTCCACCCTTGAAACACCTATTGATATAGAGATGCACTAAAGCCAGGTGACAGATTCTGGAAATATTGGAATTTTACCCACACATGCTTTAATGAATTTTCTCTATCTTCAGTTTCAGCAGTTTGACTATGATGTACCGTGTGTGCGCGCGTGTGTGTGTGCGTGTGTGTGTGTGTGAGAGAGAGAGATATTAGTGGGAATTGCTGAGCTTACTGTTTTTAATCAAGAAATTGTCTTCCATTATTTTTTTTGCCATATTCTCTCTATTCCCTCCTCTGGGACTTCAGATGCATGCATATTAGTCTGCTTGATACTGTCCCACAGGTGATTAAAGTTGTAATCATATTTTTTCCAGTCTTTTTTCTCTCTTTACTTTACTTTGGGTAATTTCTATTGACTTATCCTCTCTTCCAGTTCATGACTCTTTTTTCCTTCTGTGTCTAATTTGCTGTTTTCTTATCTAATGATTTTTTTAGAAGTTCAGATATAATTTCAGTACTAAGATTTCCATTGAGTTCACTTCAACAGTTTCCATATCTTTTCTAAAATTCAAAATCCCCATGTCTTCACCCGTTACATCCATCTTTTTTTGTAAATTCCTTAACATATTTATAATAAATCCTTGTTTGTTAATTCCAACATTTGGGCTGCCTCTGAATCTGCTTCTGTTAACTATTTGTTTTCCTTTTGGTAAGTGTCATGTCTTGCTGCGTTTCTATTATCTAGCATCATTTGACTGTATACCAGGTATCATAGATGATAGTTGTAGAAACTCTAGATTCTCTTATCTTCCTTTGAAGAGTGTTGAATTTTGTTTTGGCTATTCAGTTAAATTATCTTAGCAGATAACCTGGATCTTGGGAGGCTTGGTTTTAGGCTTTGTGAGGGTAGGCCTACTTCAGTTTTGCCCTTTGTCCTGGGAAATTGTCTTTGCTCCTAAGGTGTGGCCTTCTGGGATTTCAATGGAAAGCTCCATGTATTTTACAAGCCCTTCTGACTTGGTGGACCTTGAACTCTTAAACTGTCTCTTATTACTGGGAAATTGCTGGAATCTCTGTTTAGCTCTTTTGGCCTTCAGCTCTTGGCTCCTTGAAGTCACTCCACGCCAACGCACTTAGCAGTCTAACAAGGATCTAAGGGGAGTCTGTATGCTAATGGCATGGCTCCTCTTTTGTGGCCACTCTTTTCTATGTTTTCCCACCTCAATTTCTAGGCACTGTGGCAGCTATACACTCTGACCTCTAACTTGTCAACCCAATAAGACTCTTGCTTTCTGCATAAGCTCTACTACCCATGCTCAGTATGGACTTGAAAACACCCCAAGAGGAAAAGCCAGTTAAATGTAGTTCTCATCTAGTTTATTTCTCTTCTTTCAAGGGTTGTATCTACTCTGGTTGCCTGTTTAGGTTGTTCCCTAGTGCCTTCAAACATAAAATATCATTGATATACAATCTTAAGAAGGCAAACATTTTTAAAAAATATTTTTTCCAGAGTTTACACTAGCTATCGGGTGAAATGTTATCTGATACAAGCTACTCTGCCATTATTGCAAGCAGAATGTACCTGAATATGTTATTATTTTTAAACATTTTGTTTTGGTGTCCTGTTTTTCTGGATCACTAGGTATATACTTAGTTTTTCATATTGGATAAATCAATACTGGAGTTTGGTTGTCTGTTCTGAGAATTTACTTGATTTGATTTAAATGTCACTAAATAATCCTGTAACTTAGTTACTCCTAATGGCTCTCAAAGTTCAAGAGGTTGAAAACAGGTCTCTAAACAATGACAACATCTTGAGTGTTTAGTTAAAATTTAAAATAAACTTCAGTCTATTTTCTGAAATAGGTAATACATTCACATGGTTCAAAATTTGACAGGAAAAAAGGATATACAATAAGAAGTTTCACTCCCACCCCCCTGGCACATGTTTTTTAATAACTGGCAACTACATTTTTGATCTCTTGCATTATACAAGCAAAATGATTGTATTCTGTCATAATCCCATGAATTCCTTGGCAGAGAATTTTTTAAAAAATCAGTGACATCCTCCAACAGGAATCATTACAGAGGAAGACATCAATTCCATTTAGTTCTGCAAACATTTACTGAGCCGTACAGTGTGCCCAGAACGTTAGCTATTGTCAAGTAGAAACATGAGTCATATGGTTGAGATTGCACTTCTCTTAATTAGAAAGGAGAAGAGAGTAGAATAAAGGACTATTTGTAAGGAAATCTGATGCCTTCTATTTGACCCAGTTGGAAGAGTTAATAGAAAAAGGTCCCACCTCTGTCCAGCTGACACCTGGAGTTAAGGTTATATTCTTGGCCCTGTCTCTCTAACAGGGTGTCCCTCCAGCCCAGCAGCTGCTCTTTTTACAGCCAAGCTCAGCAAAGGGTCCAAGAATCTTGATGGAAGCTTGGTGTCTAGTTCACAGTTCTCAAAAGCTAAGTTAAGCCTCTGAAATGTCAGAATGTGGAACTAGCTACAGTTTACAATTGAAGAGTTGTTCAAAGGGCTGAGTGTTCTCCAGCCAAGTCTGAAAGGGCTGAATCCCCTTCCCAGCAGCTGAGAAAACATGGAGTGTCCACAACAGATGTACTGACAAGACACTGGAAGTGCAGCAAATCTAGAGAGGCAGCAGCAAGTATATTCTACACATGCCTTGTGTGGTCACACTTTCGGGTTCCCGCAGTGGCTTGGGTAGGCCAGCTAGGGTAATGTGTACATGGTGAAAGGGACACATGGTAGGCCAGGGTGTTTGCTATGAATTTGGGAGTGCTGCTGAGGAGAGGGAGAAATTGTGAATATCAGTGGTTAGCTTTACACTGGGTTCCTCTGTTCCTCTGCAGGAATTTCACATCACGCACACTCCACCTGCGAGCTGCTGCTGGCCAGAAAAATAAAATCTGTGCATTTTCTATGGAACTAAAGATGGGGCTTGGGACCTTTGGCTACTGCAGGGCATCACACCATGCAATTTTGCTTTGCTGCAGATGGCAAGCCTACTGGAGGGCTTTGAAGTCTTTATCTGATCCTCCATTCAAATGCTCACAACAAAATTAATTTATATGCACCATTCTTTCCTGTGATGATGTAAAAATGTCTCTAGAGAGCAAGGGCTGGTGAGTGGAAATTAACTGCACAGCGCATATAATTATTTTCTTGAGCTGCAGAAGGTCACTGATAGTTTATTTGGTATTCTGTCCTTGTGGCTTAATTTTAGTGACTGTTAAAGAAAAAAAAGATCTGCAAGCTTTTCTTTCATTTCCAACCTCCTGTTCCTTAATCCTCTCTTCTTCAGGAGGCTTAATTTGCCCAGTGGGGTTTTCAGGACTTGAATTCTTATGGTAGGAGGGACTAGAGCTACACCAATAGAAATATAATACATGCCACGTGTGTTTAAATTTCCTAAGTAGCCAGTAAGAGGAAACAGTTTACATTAATTTTAATATTTTAGTTAACCCAGCATATCTAAAGTATCATTTCACCATGTAAGTATTATAAAAATTATTGATGAGATAATTTACCTTTTTTTTGTACTAAACAGATATTTGAGATCTGGATTGTATTTTATACTTCAACAGCACATCTCATTTTGGGCTAGCCACGTTTCAAATGCCCAATAGCTACATGTGCCTAGTGGCTACAATACCAGACAGCCCAGGACTAGAGCCCAGGCCACAGTGATACCTTCCAGGTCCTCCTACACATGCAGACAATGAATCTTCTAAGCCTCATTCTAGAAGAGCGCGAGTGATGATACAGTCAGGAGGGGGTTTAGAATGGGGTCAGATACCAGAATTCCAGATGAGTTTTGCTGATGAAAATAACTAGAAAGCAAAGGGGAGGGCATCATGGATGGAGAACCTTGTATAAGGTCTGGAGGCAGAAAGAGGCCATTTGGAGGACACGTTATGTAGGAGGTATGAGAACTTGGTGGAGGGCTGAATCCTGCCATGTGGACAGGTAGCATTTTACCTGGGGCAACCCGTGGGCTGACTGTCCCTTTTTTTGTCTTTTCTCTCCCCTCCTCAATCCCCCATCCCCACCCCAGCAGTGGTCCTTGGCCTACCCAGTGCTGGGGCCCCTGAGGCCTGCACGCGCACCTGCCCCGCAGCCTGTGTCTGCAGCAGCACAGAGCATGGCTGCCAGGTGCGCTGCGACCGCGCCGGCCTCCTGCGGGTGCCGGACGAGTTCCCATGCGAGGCGGCCTCCATCGACCTGGACCGCAACGGCCTGCGCCTCCTGGGCGAACGGGCTTTTGGCACGCTGCCGTCGCTGCGCCGCCTGTCGCTGCGCCACAACAACCTGTCCTTCATCACGCCTGGCGCCTTTAAGGGCCTGTCGCGACTGGTTGAGCTGCACCTGGCACACAACGGTGACCTGCGCTACCTGCACGCGCGCACCTTCACGGCGCTGGGCCGCCTACTCCGCCTCGATCTGGCCGCCTGTCGCCTCTTCAGTGTGCCCGAGCGCCTCCTGGCCGAGCTGCCCGCCTTGCGCGAGCTCGCCGCCTTCGACAACCTGTTCCGCCGTGTGCCCAGCGCTCTGCGTGGCCTGGCCAACCTGACGCAGGCGCACCTGGAGCGCGGCCGCATTGAAGCCGTGGCCTCCAGCTCGCTGCAGGGCCTGCGGCGCCTGCGCTTGCTCAGCCTGCAGGTCAACCGCATCCGCACTGTGCACTCTGGCGCCTTCCGTGACTGCGGCGCCCTGGAGCACCTGCTGCTCAATGACAACCTGCTGGCCGCGCTGCCGGCTGAGGCCTTCCGCGGCCTGCACCGCTTGCGCATGCTCAACCTGGGCGGCAACGCGCTGGGCCTCGTGTCACGTGCGTGGTTCACTGACCTGGCCGAGCTTGAGCTGCTCTACTTGGACCGCAACAGTATCGCCTTCGTGGAGGAGGGTGCCTTCCAGAACCTCTCAGGACTCCTCACTCTGCACCTCAACAGCAACCACCTTATGGTGCTCACTGGGGCCGCCTTCCAGCCTGGCTTTTTCCTGGGTCGCCTCTTTCTCTTTCACAACCCGTGGCGCTGCGACTGCCGCCTGAAGTGGCTGCAGGACTGGATGGAGAGCTCTGGGTATGTAGCTGATGTGCTGTGTGTCTCCCCCAGCTCCGTGGCGGGCCTGGACATCTGCCAGGTGGCTTTTGGACGCTCCTCTGAAGGCCTCTGTGTGGACCCCGAGGAGCTGAACCTCACCATGTCCAGTCCAGGCCCGTCCCCAGAACCAGAGGCCACCACGGTGAGCAGGTTCAGCAGTCTTCTCTCCAAGCTCTTGGCCCCGAGGGCCCCAGCAGAGCAGGCCGCCAACACCACTGAGGGGCTGGTCAATGCCTCGCTGTCGAACAGCCTTCTCTCTTATGGAATGGGAGGCTCGGGCCATAACACCAGGTTTCTCTTTGGCTCTAGTCTCCTGCTCAGTGTGGCCCACCACGTGGTATTTGTCTAGAGGTGAACTGACCCTGCCACACTGGGATGGCCCAAATTGCCTTGGACAGTGGAGGAAAGTTTCATTAACTGGGCTTGAGGGTGTTTGTGGTGGGGGAAGAGGGGAACAGGTTGGGGCAGGTGGTGAAAATTCCAGCAGAGGTAGGAAGAAACACTTTGCCTACAAAGAGGGCCCTAGGAAGAGGGGAACCCTGGGAAATGCCATGGTGGTGGCTGGGGGTGGAGGGGATGCAGGATGGATTTCTGCTCATGTCACATGGGCATCAGCTGGAAGAAAAGACTAGGAATTGGAAGCTCCTAGGGCTACAGGGCTCCATCCCCAACCCTTCCCCCCACCTTCCAGGATACAGTCCACAATGCCTGAATTAGAATCAATCCATTGGCTAAATAAATACTAAGAACTGTGCCAATTCTTATAGCCAGACAACCCAGTAAACTCAATCCCTTTGTTTTCTACCACAATCATCCAGTCCCTCCCCCAGGGGCCTGGGGCCCTGGCATCCAGGAAGATGGACAGAACAGGAGAGAAGGGGGATGGGAGAGGGTCTTAGTCCCAAGGAGGTGGCAGCGATTTCTGGGGTCTGATATGTGTTAGGAAGCATTTAAAACAAAGACCTGTTTCATTTACTCCACAGTTATTCCCAAGGGGTGGCCTTAGCTGAAATGGATCTTTAGGGCAGGGTAGGGATAAAAAGAAGGGGAGTGTTTGTGGAACAAATATATTTGTAAAATCCTAAAATTAAAAAAAAAGTTAACTAGGTTTCAATACTGCAGCACTTTTCAGAGTCTTTCATATGCAAACATGTATTGTGAATCTCTGGGGAGGCCACAAATCCTCTTAGCATTTCATGGGAAGAGTGTCCAGAAGACACAGAGATGCTATGTTAGCAGGGCAGGGAGTCTCCAGCCTGGATTTACCATTAGGTATGGAAATTATTATGGGCTGCACACTTTGGGACTGAGTAGCAGCCAAGTGGAAGAGAGGCGGCCAGTAGCTGGGAAGGGGGTCTGAGAGATTTCCCAGGATGGGAGTTGGCCAACTGTAAGCCCCTAGGCCTGAGTGCCAGAGCGAAGGCTGTCTGCTAAATACTTCATTGCACACATCTCATGAAGACTACATGTGTCACCATTCTGGAAAAACTTAATCTTAATGTCCTGAGTTCCTCTCTGTATTTGAAGTGGTGGGTTTTCAAAGCCCACATGGATTCAGGGTGCATGGAGCTGTCATTTCTTCATGGTGACAGTGTTGGTGTCTGTAGGTAATACTAGGTATTAGAAATGTGGCAGGAGGCACCATTGAGGCAGGAATGTTTTTGTGACCATTAGTGGTCACCAGTGCAATTAAACAGGTTACATTTAAAAAACCGAGATAGAACAGAAAAGTCACAGGGCATCCTGTGTAATAAGAGTAAGTATTGCTTTGTAAAAGTTTTTATTTATATGTGTTTGTTCAGATTATATATGTATGTACATGTATGTTGGTGGCAGCATACAACTTACATATTTTTTTTCTTTTTTTTAATTAAGATATCATTGATATATACTCTTATGAAGGTTTCACAAGAAAAACAATGTGGTTACTACATTCACCCTTATTATCGAGTCCCCCCATACCCCATTGCAGTCACTGTCCATCAGTGTAATAAGATGTCACAGAGTCCCTATTTGTCTCCTCTGAGCTACACTGTCTTCCCCATGACCCCACACACACCATGTGCATCAATCATGATACCCCACAATCCCCTTCTCCTTCCCTCCCCACCCTCCCCACCCTCCTCCACCCCTCCCCTTTGGCAACCACTAGTCCTTTCTTGGAGTCTGTGAGTCTGCTGCTATTTTGTTCCTTCAGTTTTGCTTTGTTCTTATACTCCACAAATGAGGGAAATCGTTTGGTATTTGTCTTTCTCCGCCTGACTTATTTCACTGAGCATAATACCCTCCAGCTCCATCCATGTTGTTACAAATGGTAGGATTTGTTTCTTATGGCTGAATAGTATTCCATTGTGTATATGTACCACATCTTCTTTATCCATTCATCTACTGATGGACACTTAGGTTGCTTCCATATGTTGGCTATTATAGATAGTGCTGCGATAAACATACGGGTGCATATGTCTTTTTGAATCTGAGAAGTTGTTTTCTTTGGGTAAATTCCTAGAAGTGGAATTCCAGGGTCAGATACACACTCTTATGAAGGTTTCACATGAAAAACAATGTGGTTACTACACTCACCCATATTATAGAGTCCCCCCCATACCCCATTGCAGTCACTGTCCATCAGTGTTGTAAGATGCCACAGAGTCACTATTTACCTTCTCTGTGCTACACTGTTTTGCCCGTGACGCCTCACAACATGTGTACTAAACATAATACACCTCAATCCCCTTCTCCGTTCCTCCCCACCCGGCCTCCCTCACCCCTCCCCTTTGGTAACTGCTAGTTCCTTCTTGGAGTCTGTGAGTCTGCTGCTGTTTTGTTCCTTCAGTTTTGCTTCATTGTTATACTCCACATATGAGCATACAGCTTATATTTTATTGTGGGTTATTGTTAAAAAGTTTGAAAGTCACTTACCTGGTGCATGCATAATTTTTTAAACTTTTTATTTTGAAAAATCTGAAGCCTACAGAAAAGTTGCAAGAATAGTGGAATGCACACTGGCCATTTACCTAGGTTCCCAGTTGTTAACATTTTTTCCGTATTTGCTTTCTCTCTCTTATTGTATTATTAATATTTCTTACTAACACTTTGAGTTAATTGCAAATGTCAGGACACTTCATCCCTAAGTATCTCAGTGTGTATTTCCTAAGAACAAGGACATTCTCTTATACACAATACTATCATCAAAATCAGGCAATTTATCATTGATAGAGTCCTATTATTTAAAATATGCTCTATTTTGAAATGTCAACGGTTGACAAAAATGATTTTTCTAGCAGTCATTCTTTTTCTTATGGGTGGAAAATGGGATTCCCAGGTTAAGGCTTGTGTTCATTTTGATCACAATACTCAAAATTCTAAATCTGCTGACGGACATTCTTTCTCCAAATGTCTTACTTTTCAAATGTGAGAGAACCAGATGAGGTCAGAACTGTTTGTCAAACCATGTGTTGTGGCCATGGTAACTGAGTGAGGATCAGGGGCGTCCTGGAGACCAGATCTCTGCATTTGGGTAACCATGGAAGGCCACAGCAGACACATAGCAGCTTGTGTTACTGAGGAACAGGATGCCATCTTGGGAGGAATGTCTTTCCTTTCATTGCAGCGGATTCCTGAGAGTCAGCAGCAAAATGTTGCCCCAGTTCTGCCTGGTGTTTAGATGGCCAGCTTTTTAATTAACATTTGTTTGACCGAATGTTTTTGAACAAGTATCAACACTGAAACAGCCTCTGGGAAGACAGATTTGTATAGAGTCACCCAGCCCCCAGCAGAATTCTGGTAACATGAGAGTTACTGCCAAACAGATCCAGAGTCTCCTGGAATGAGTTTCCAGTGAATTGTGGCCATTATGAGCTCTCATGAGAGAACAGGCAGTGGAGAGTTCCAGTTTTGAGTTCACTATGTTTCTCACCCCATCACTGGTGAATTAGTACCTTGAGAAATATTAAGGTACTGTATAGATTCTGCTAAGCAAAGCTGTGTGTACGTGTCAGGAGGGCCCACGTTATTCCGTGGTAACAAACAACCCCCGAAGTTCAATGGGTTACGAAGGGTTATTTCTTGCGTATGCTACCTGTCCAGTGTGGGCTTATTAGGGGTCTCTGCTCATTATAGCCATTCAGGGACCCAGGCTGATGAAGGATCTGCCATTTTAGGACATTGTTGTCCAAACATGGGCTCTAGGGTTTGCTGCAGCAGAGAAAGGAAGCTTGGGAGAGTCATGCATCACGCTTAAATGCTTCCACCCAGAGCTGACACATGTTGCTTTTCCTATTTCATTAGCTAAAAAGGTCACACAGCTACATGTAACTTCACCAAGGCAGGGTAGTATCATCCTCCCGTTTGCCCAGCAGGGGAGGAGAACAGAATATTGGTGAACACTAGCAATGCTCCGAAACACTCGGGCAGCTCCAGGCAGCTAACTTGATAGAATCAAGTGTGGACGTCTCTGAACTGTCAGAAGAAATAATGGCTTGAGGGGGAAATCTGATGAGCAAGCCGCTACCCCTGTCTGTCTCTCCTCCCAGCATCCCAACTAGGCTTTGAAACCAGTATTTGCTCTAGCCAATAGGAATGCTGAAGCCATATTGTATCAGTTCTTTTGAGAAAGGAGAGAGAAAAATCTAGAGACAAACGGTTCATATTTTCCCCTTTAAAAAAGATGTTCCACACAAAGACTCAAGTGACAGTATTTAAATCCCTGGAAGCCTGAGCTATTTGGAAAACTCTTTCTCAGAACCCCCCTGGCTGTTTCTAAGAGGTCTCCCTGTGGTGGTTCCACAAGGACAACAGCTCTCCAGCCCACCCACCTCTTGACAGACCACCAAAATGCCGCCCTCTGGAGGACACTGTGTGCTGGGCACATATGTCCCTGGCTGTTGGTTCTCTGCTATTCTCACCCCGACAAAAAGGGAGGGGTTCCTACTCTCCTTTGATCCTCTTGCCCAAGGATGGCTTGAACCCACCCCAGAATCCCTCATGGCACAGAAGAGCCGACCAGCTGAGAAGTGAAGAGCCTTCTCTAAAGGGGTCGGTGTAATGGAAGAGAAGTACTCCTCTGCACACTGCTGGATGTGTTCATTGGCAGAACCCCCAGACCCCAACCCCTTCAAGGCTCCTGCAGCTGGGCTGCCTTAACAACCCCCCAACTGGGAATGCCCAGGCCTTGCTGTGTTTCTGAGACCAAACTTCCAGGGAGAACTATTTGCTTGTCCCCCAGTCTAGGGCCTACCTCTCCAGCCCCACACCAGAAACTCCATTCTACAGGTAGCGGCCAGTCTTGCTTCTGCCACATTCCACATAAGACGTCACACACAGTCCCACGGTGGGGTCCATCAGAGCCAAAGCGGCCAGTCACGTCCAGATCGTCGGCCCGCCCGCCTCTCTGCCCGCCAGTCCCTTCTTCACCCCATCTCCACGTTGCCTGGAAAATACATCTCAGAGCTACAAAAGAACAAATCAGTTCTGAGGGCACCAGTTAGCCTAGTGTTACACAGAATAATATGATATTTCTCTCCAGAAAGTTCCAAAGACTGGGAGACACAGCTCTGATAAAAGATACAGCAATCCCCTCCTTTATAAGTGTTAACATGTATAGCCAATGTTTTTTTCTTATCTTGAAATATACTCCGTTTTTCTGTTTTCAAACAGGACTCTTCACTTCCTTCTCCGAGACAGATCATGTTCAGGTTTCCTGCCAACAGCAGGGTGGATCCCTCCTTTCTATTTGCCCGGGGCCTGACGGCTTCACAGTGTAGAGGACAGTCTTTCCCAGAGGCCCACCCAAGTCTCCACCCCAGAGGGCAGAAACTGTTTGTGACACTGAATGAGTGGTGGCTTGCATGGCCTTGCAGCTGGTGTGGTCAGGAAAGGCTGAGGGGGACAGGAGTCATACCAGGGGAGGTGATATTTTATGTTTTAGGCAGCAGTAACTACTGGATCTCTGCTCCCTGTCCCCTCTGAGCCCCCTCCACACACACACTCTCCCTCTCACTCACTCATTCACTATTCACAGGGGCTGGGCTGTTTGGAAAAGGAGTCACAAGCAGTCTCGGGCCTCAAAGAGGACTTCGGGATCTGTCTCCCTGTGACCTGGGGTGCAAGGCTGGAGTGAGACATGGCCCTCTTCGTGGTGTGCGTGGCCAACTTCAGTTGCTGATTAAATGTTACTTATGTTCTTTCTATTTGTGTTCTAGGCACAGAAAATTTAGAAGCCCTTAAACAAACATTTGCAATTTTCAAGGGAGTTCCCAGGAAATGTTGCTGACTTTTATAACTGTGAGCCTGAGAGGAGAAAAAGAGAGCATTTGTTCACAGCCTGACTGACCAAAACACCAACCACAGGGAGGCTTGTGGACAGCTTAGCTCTGGGGTTCCTGGCAGCCTAGCAGGAGTTCTCTCTGGGCACACATGACTTTGTGGCTGAAACCCACTCATGGTTCTCACGATCCATTAAGTGGGTCATGACATTAGTAGTGGCAACTAGCATTAAAAAATAATAGTGACAAAATAGATGGGAAACTTTAGCATGCATCACAGATAGTAAGAAGTTATTTCATTAAATTTTTGCTTTAGTTAAATACGTATGTGAATGTGTGTGTGTACTGGAACACAGTATAAAAATATATCTGTCACTGTGGGTCACCATCATGAATACTTGAAAGCCAGTGTCATAGATTAGTTTGATTCCTTATTTGTTTTCAGAGAGCACAGGATTGAAAGTAAAATGCAGGACTCCATTTCCTTTGTTG